GTGACTAGTGAATCCATAAATATCCTAGAAGAAAATGTAGGCAACAAAATTTCGGACATCATACGCAGCAGAATTTTTACTGATACATCACCTAAAGCAACAGAAACAAACGAGAAAACACATGGGACTACATCAAACTAAAAAGCTTCTGCATAGCAAAAGATACAATCGTCAAAATGGAAAGGCAACCCACTGTATGGGAGAGCATAATTGCCAATAATATATCAGATAAGAGCTTAATTTCCAAAATATATAGAGTACTCATACAACTCAACAAAAGCAAGACAAAGAACCCCATTAAAAAATGAGCAGAGAAGCTAAATAGACACCTCTTCATACAGGACATACAAATGGCCAAGAGACATATGAAGAAATGCTCAACATCACTAATCATCAGAGAGATGCAAATTAAAACAATAATGAGGTATCACCTCACACCTATCAGAATGGCCGCCATCAGCAAATCATCAAACAGCAAGTGTTGGCAAGAGTGTGGAGAAAAGGGGACTCTAGAACACTGCTAATTGGACTGCAGACTGGTGCAGCCACTATGGAAAATACTATGGTGTTACCTCAAAAAATTAAAAATTGCATTGCCATTTGATCCAGTGATCCCACTTCTAGGAATATACCCTAAGAAACCTGAAACACCAATCAGAAAGAATATATGTACCCCCATTTTTATAGCAGCACTATTTACCATAGCCAAGATCTGGAAATAACCCAAATGTCCATCAGTAGATGAATGGATAAAAAAGGTGTGGTACATATACATAATGGAGTACTATGCAGCTATAAGAAAGAAAGATCTCTTATCTTTTGATATGACATGGAGGGACCAGGAGACTATTATCCTAAGTGAAACAAGCCAAGCAGAGAAAGACATATCATATGATCTCACTTATTTGTGGAATATAACAAACATAACATGTTTGTTATATTCCACAAATTGGGTAGACCCAGAGACTTGGGTAGACCCAGAGACTTGGAAGAAGGGTACAGACTGACAACCCTCAGAGGAGTGGATGGTGGGGGGAGGGAAGAGATAAACCACAGAACTTATATGCATGTGCCCATAACCGATGGCCCCGGACAACAAAGCTGGGTATGGGGTGGGGGGAGATGGGGAGAGGGTGTCAATGGGGAAAAAAAGGAGAAACATCTGTAATAAAAATAAATTAATAAACAATTTTTTAAAAAATTTTAGACCTGAACCCCTAAAAATCTTAGAAGAAAACAGTAAAATCTTGGATTTTTCCTGTAGCAATATTTTTTCTCATATATCCCCTCAGGCAAGGGAAACAAAAGAAAAAATAAAGAATTGGGACTACACCAAACTAAAATGCTTTGCACAGCAAAGCAAACCATCAACAAAATGAAAAGATAACTCACTGAATTAGAGAACATACTCACCAATGATCCATCTGATAAGGTGTTATATACAAAATTTATAAAGTACTTATAAAACTCAACACCAAAAAAACCCTAAATAATCCACGTATAAAGTGGGCAAAGGCGCCCTGGTAGGTAGTCATGGGTTCAGTTCTGGTCAAGGGCATGTACCTCAGTTGTGGTTCGGTCCCCGGCCCTAGTCAGGTTTGTGCGGGAGGCAGCCAATTGGTGTTTCTCTCCCACGTCTCTATTTCTCTCTATCTCTCTTTCTCTGTCTCTCTCCCCCTCTCTCTCCCCTCCCTCTCCCCTCCCTTCTTCTCTTCCTCTCTCCCACTCTGTCTGAAGATAAATAGAAAAAATATCCTCAGGTGAGGTTTAAAAAAAGGGGGGGGGGGGACAAAGGACCTGAGTAGATACTTCTCCAAAGATGACATACAAATAGCCAGTAGACATGAAAAGATGCTCAACATCACTAATCATCAGAGAGATGCAAATTAAAATCACAATGAGATACCACCTCACACATCTCAGAATGGTTATCATCATTAAATCAACAAACAACAAATGTTGGCAAGGATGTGGAGAGGAAACCCCTCATGCACTGTTGATGGTAATGCAGATTGGTACAGCCACTGTGGAAACTAGTATGGAGTTACCTGAAAAAATTAAAAATAGAACTGCCTTTTGACCCAGTGATTCTACTTCTGGGAATCTTATGTGAAGAAAACTGAAACACTAATTTGAAAGAATATATGTACCCCTATGTTCATTGCAGCATTATTTACAATAGCCAAGATTGGGAAGCAGCCCAAATGCCCATTAGTAGATGAGTGGATAAAAAGGCTGTGGTACATTTACACAATGGAATACTACTTGGCTATAAAAAGGAAGGAAATACCTTTTGCAACAGCATGGATGGGTCTGGAGAGCATTATGCCGAATGAAATAAGCCAGTCAGAGAAAGACAAATAGCCATATGATTTCACACATATGTGGAATCTAATGAACAAAATGAGCTAACAGGCAAAATAGAGACAGACTCACAGATACAGAGCAGGTTGACAGCTGGCAGGTGGTGGATACTAAGTGGGGGGGTTGGAGGTACTGAGCAAAAAAGAAAAATACAGACACGGACAACAGTGTGGTGATTGCGGGAGTGGGGAGGGTATAGTAGAGCTAAACGGTATGGACGAGACTTGACTTGGGGTGGTGAACACACAATATAGTGTACAGATGATGTCTACCCTGAAACCTGTATAATTTTATTAACCAGTGTCACCCAATAAATTCAATAAAAAGGAAAAAAAAATTCTTGCAGCACATCTGTTGAATATTGCTGCATAAGTGTATTTCTTGTTTGCACTACTTAGCCAGCACAGGTGGATGGGATACAAGGGTGGAGCATTCTCCATTTACTCATTCAAGGACCTTTGCTAACAAAGGTTTCACTGGCTAGAATATTGCTGGTCACTGTGGCAGGAGAGAAGAGTAGGATAGAATATTCCTCACTGCTCTCTAATACTTCAGACTAAAAGTGACATGTCACTTTTGCTCCCACCCATTGGCCAAAAATAGTTACAAATGCCCCTCAAGTGGGTATCCGGTGAGCAGTGAGTGTCTCTTCCAAGACTTTCTGAGGATCTGGGGTATATAATTCTACTTGTTAAAGATAGCTAATATAGTGATTAAGAGTGCAGACCCTGGAATTGGACTGCCACAATCTAGAGCCTGGCTCCCCCGCTTACTAGCTTTGTGATATTGGGCAAGTTATCAACTTTGGGGCGTTAATTTTCTCATCTGTAAAACAGGGATAATAATGGTAAGAGCCTCACAGAATTACTGAGTTGTGAGGCTTAAATGAGAAAATACACACACATATATAAGTGTTAGAGCACTGTACCATGTAATTGTTAGCAAGTATTATTATTATTATTATTATTATTATTATTATTATTCTGCTAGCTTCCAATATAACAAATGAAAGGAAGACTCAAATGTCCGGCTCTAGTTGAGGGAGTCAGTGGAAAGAAGTTGTAGTAATATGTTTGTGACGCCAGTGTCAGGACTAGGATGGTGCTATTGGGCAAAGAGAGTGCAAGTCGAGAAAACCCAAGCAAGAGTCACTGTGGATGAGAGAAGGATGATCAGGTGTGGGTGACGGAGAGAAAGAAGCTTGAGCTTGCAGAGAAATGAGGGGGTCCCTGTGGGGGAAGAAGATGAACTGACTGTGGTGATGGGAGATGTCCAAGGCATAAGAGGCCACAGGAAGTAGAGTAATAGAGCCATCTCTTAATGGACATGTTTCTGGACATGGTGACATCCTCCTGCTCTGAGTCAGGCTACAGGCACTGGGGTTAGATGGATTTAATTCCTGGCTCCACCTCTCCATGGGGCCTGGTGCTCTAGTTTCTTCATCAGTAAAATGGAGATAATAATTGTACCCATCTCTTAAAATAGTGAGGGGTAAATGAGATAGTGCCTGTCAAGTGCTCCGAGAAGTGGCGTGTAGTGAATGGTTAACTGTTTCTTCTTAGCTAATGGAGCTTTTAGTTGAAAAGAAATTTGGGGATTATCTTTCAAGTGATCAGTTTTTCAGAGTTGAATGTAAAACAGAAACAGACTTCCATAAGCAGCAGTTCTCATGAGTGAATTTAGTACTCCCTGATTCAAAAGAATGGACCATGTTGTCACCAGATCAGCTTTTCATTTTTTCATTCTTACCTGAATAGTCAATGAGCAAATGTTTTTACCTTTCCAAAGAATGACAAATTACAGTGGGCTAAAAGGTGACCAATAGACCATTTTAAGGGCTAATTTAAGATCGATGCTTCCCCTTTTAAAATAGCCTGGTACTTTTTACTGATTGGTAGGTGTCACTGCCCTTTGCCTCTTGAAATATAAAATTATTTCCAAGCAGAACATATTTCTTATCTTTTTTATCCTCACCTGAGGACATTTTTACATTTATCTTCAGATACAGCGAGAGGAGAGAGGGAGGAAGAGAGAGAGAGAAACATCGATGTGAGAGAGACACATAGATTGGTTGCCACCCACAACTCCAAACGGGGCCCGGAACAAATTGCAACCAAGGTACGTGCCCTTAACGGGAACCAAACCCAGAGTCTCTGGTCTGTGGGCCGACGCTCTAACCACTGAGCCAATCTGGCCAGGGCCAAGCAAAACATATTTCTGTATCTACATTTAAATTGGCTTGTTGGGCAATTAGCTCTATCTTTTAATAGGTCTAGTTTAAATTACATGGTCTTTGAGGGTAATTATCTTCAATCACACATGTGCTCTAACATATGTAATTAAGCATTTAGGGTCTTTCTTTTCACTTCAATGAGAAATTAAAGGGGCGAGAGGAGGATGGATGAGGTGAACCAAAGAACTTATATGCATGTATGCATAACCAGTGACATAGACAACAATGCTGGGGGTGGAGGGTGAGGGGGTAGGATAGGGAGGAGGGAGTCTGGGGTGGGGAGAAACATCTGTAACAAAAATAAATTAATAATAATTGGAAAAAAATAAAAGAAATTTAAAAAGAAATTAAGAACTTCAGATGTTTCAGTAGGACTTTATATATTTATTTTTTTTCAGTAGGACTTTAGAGTTTTGTTAGTAATAGTACAAAACAGGTACTATTTGATTAGATGAATATTAGAGAACCTTCTGTGGGCCAAGCTCTGTACCATGTGCTATGTGTATAACAGATGACATCCTCATTCTCATTATCCCACATTCTAGCTAAGTTATAATCTACTTACTGTTGGTTATTTGTCCTATTTAAGGACAGACTGTCCACTAGTATATAATGAAACAGTTAAGGCCTCTCATACTTTTTTGGTCTATATGATTCAGTTCTGTATTCTTTATGGAGTTAGGGTTGTATTCTTCATGCTGCCTTTAATTTACCAGGTGCCTTTTCCTAATTTAGGCTTATTTATAAAGTGTGGGCAATACTATCTGCTCATCCTGTTTCACAGGATTGTGTAAAGGAAGACATTATATAATGTATGGACTATTTTATAAATGATTGAACTCTTCATATATACCTGGTTTCTAACATCACTATTCTCTATTATCTGTACTATTCTGTGCTATCACTGAAGATTCAATTAATTTATACTGATTTTAAACTAAATAGCTTTGAGGGTTTTTTTCAATTAACCAACTGATCCTTTTAGAAATAAACATAAAATTATGGAAGAGGTAAATATGGTTAACTGCCATGTAACTATCAGCTTTCCTAGTTGAGTTTTTCTAGCTCATTATTTTTAAAATTGTTAATATATCACCGAAACAATATATTATATATACAACCACCTCCTTTGTTCTATAACAATACAAAAATTATACAGCACAGTTCCTGTTCTCCAAGTTCACCTATTTGTGAGGGAAATGCACAGAAAATAAATGTAAAGCCAACTAATCATACAAGACACTGGGAAGATGCCCCAAGGTCATGTGCGAACAGTGGCTTCATGAATGAAATAAGCAGTAAGGGCCTTTTGAAGGAGAGTGAATAGCTAAGTTTGACTGGAGTATAGACTTTAAAAAAAATAGATTAGTTGGAGATAAATTAAAATTTTACCATTTGGTAATATGGCTATTGATGATTGGATAAAGTCATTTACATAGATTTGTGGTACAGTGGAGGGAAGAGGCAGAAAACAAAACAGATAAAAGAATACATAATTCTCTTACCAAGTGAAATTAATATTGATATTTACTTTTATGTTTAAAGCATCTTAAGAATTGACCCCATTAGCACTGAGAGGACCTTTTCATCTGCTAGGAAGCAGCTTGTTGGTTCATATATACAGTGGTTTATGCTCAAATGTAGTTATAGAACTAGTATACCATAAAGATACTCTGGCCCTTAAATACAATACTGTTAGTTGACAGTGAACATTGAACAACATACTCATAATTTTGTACAATCCTGTTCTTTATTCCAAAAGAGTTCTTTGAGGCTTGAGTTATTGAGAAAATAAAGTCTAAGAGTAAAAAAAGAAAACATGAATTGAAGGAATACATTATCAAAAAAGAAATATGTTACAATATTAACATTTTTACACTGGGAGTATACAATCTTAGCAGTCTTTTTTCTTCTGCCAAATTGTTGGCAGGAAATGTTAATGATTAAATTTTTCATTAATACGAAACTTTTTCTAATATAGTGAGAGTTATTAAAATAATCTCCCTTTTGGTATAACATTCCATTTACAAATTAGAACTTTGTTGTTCTCTTGAGTGTAAAAAATACATATTTATCAGTTTACTTCCAAGTTGGAGGTGGGAAATAGTGCCCAAAGAAAGGAATTTAAAATAATTCTAAGTGGAAGTGGAATAATCGTTTTGCTTTATAAGAAAAGTCCTGCAAAGTTTGTCATACAGTTTACTTTGCTATAAATCTAAGATTTAATTTCTTTCTATTTTCCATTTAAAGACTTGGAGTGTATCATAATTTGAGTTTCTGTCATTTCACGTGAGTTTTCTTCAGGGGCTGTCTTCACAGCACTAGAGATTGATACACTGACTTGACGTTTCAGCATCTTCATAACCTTTCTCTTGTACCCTTTACATGCAAAGAAATATATAAAAGGGTCCATGCAGCAATTAAAGTTCATGAGGCATACGGTAAAGTGCAGAGAAATCTGGAATGAATGTCTTTGGCTACATTCCAGGAGATCAGGAAAACGAAGCTTCTTAATCATGTGTTGAATAATTGCTACATGGTAAGGTGTGAAACAGAGAATAAACACAACAATTATAAAAATTATTGTGTTGAGAGCCTTTTTGTTTACACCAGATTTCTCAGCTAATGGGTTTTGTTTGGCAGTTTTAAAGAGTTTGCAACAGATTTGAGAATAGCAGATAAGAATAATTATGAGCGGAAGCACATATCCTATGAAACATGCACCGAGCAGAATCCAGGGAAGATTTTTTGTTGCTTCAAAGTTTGGGTATTCCATGCATGTAGTCCTTTCATTCTCCTGCTTTGACATAGATTTTATGAGTAGTGGGAGTGTTTGAGCAAATACTAGAACCCAGACAAATATGCAAATGCCTTTTGCATGTTCAATTCTTTTCATCTTGTTGTATCGCAGAGGGTGCACCACAGCAAAGAACCGGTCAATGCTCAGGCAGGTCATGAAATTCACACCTGCATACGTATTGATGTAAAACACGAGAGCAGTTATCCTACACAAGGCCTCGCCGAGTCTCCAATCAAAGCCCAGGGCATAGTAGGCTATCCGTGTAGGCAAAGCAGTAGTAAAAAGTATATCAGAAATGACCAGATTTGTTGAATATAGAGTGGTAGAGTTTATTTTCTTCCTGTTTTGAACAATGACGACCAAGGCTAACAAGTTTCCCACGAGCCCAATTATGAAAACAATGCTGTAATGCAGAGGCATTATAATCCTGGCTGTATCATGGTGTGCATAGAGATCACAGTCACTGTCATGAGGAGCTGTAGAGGATGTAGTAAAATTGTTGTCCATTTTTATATCCGTCAGCGGTGTTCAAGGTCTCTAGAAAAAAAACAAGAAGGATAAGTCTAATTAAAAGCAGGTTTAGCTCAAAGCAATATAAACTACCTTTTATCGATCTAACTTAAAAAAATTAAGATTCATATGATTTTAAAAATCTATGATAGGAATATGGTTACATATATAGTAATGGGAAGAACAGAATAAGATTCATGTTTTTGCTCTCACGGTTTGGTGATTTTGGGTAAAGCCTTGGCAAAGGAACTAGAACCATCTAAATAGGACCCAAAAATTTTGTGTATGTGACAAGAGGGAATGCACTAAATTTTTAGGCAGAACTGTTCCCTTCCTTTTTTGAATCATTATCTGATTAAGAATAAAATCATATAAAGTACTCCACATTTCAGATGGGTGTAAAACTTTGCTTTTAAATTAAATTACAGGGGGACTTTTTTTTCTCCCCAATGCTTATCACTGCCAGGAAATGAAATCAGTCACACATTTATGTAGTGAAATATGAACTTACCACACAGTGATCTGATTTGTGTTAACCTAAAAAGTATGAGAAACAAGTCAAGACCTTGTTAGGAACTGAAACTTAGGTTTTCTTAAAAGAAAAAAAAAGATGATGATGATGAAGATGGCCACGACAAACACGAGAAAAACAAGAAGAAAAGGAAGAGAAAGAAAAACCTTAAACTGCTTGAAGGGAAAAGGTTCAGTTAATTTTAAACTGTATCATTCCTCAGGTGCCCAATTGACCCATGTATATACATTCTTTCATTCACAAGTAGTAGTAAGCATTACAGTCATGGTATTTTGTGTTCTGCTTTATTCACTTAACATGTTCATGGATCATTGTAATCTATCTGTTATATGTGTAGGTCTTATATAGATATTTGATAGGTATTCCACAGTATAAATTTCTTAGCTATTCCCTTGATGAACATTTGAATTATTTCCAACTCTTGTTATAAATAATGTTAGGATGAAATTTGAAATCCTAAGTTGAAAAGTAGAAAACTCCTACAATAAAACTTAATATATAAGGCTGAATTTGATAAAACTAAGGAAGAATAGCTATAAATTCTATGAAGTTATTTTTAGATTAAAATAATTTTCTGATAGGACTATTTATGTACATGAATCTCATCTGCAAGTCACCAAAGTTAAGGGAAATTTTCCGTCTATCTAGTGATTATGATGCTCTATGTTAAAGGAAAAGGACACTCCTAGCCATATCAAGGCACCAACTAAAAATCCACTTCTCTGACTGTGGTATTAAATGAATTGTATCTCTGCTAACTTAGTTTTAACTGTCTTAAAACAGTGATGCTAAGAGACAACAAGGGTTAGCAGAAGATTGCACTAATGTTATATGTGTGCATTACATACTGTATTGATAGAGTAATCGTTAAAAGATAGAAATACAATGTAAACTAAAAGGGAACAGAAATGGAAGTAGAACTTCTTATTAATCAAGAGAAGACAGGAAAGGAGGTTGTGTGGGAAAACCGATAGAAAAAGGATGGTAAATTGAACACAAAAAAATAAGAGGGTTGAAACGTGTCACAACAGATTTAAATGGATTCGACTTACATATGGAAAGACAGACTATCAGTTTGAATTTTTAAAAAATCTATCTCTGTGCTATTTAGAAAAGATATAACTCAAAGTGATTCAGGAAGGTTGAGAATAAAGGCTTGGGAGAACAGATACCAATCCCAAACAGTGTGGAAAGTAGAATAGCAATATTAACATCAGAAACAGAATTCAAGGCATACTCAATATTAACAGGGAGAAGGAAGGTCACTACAAAAGTTAAAAGAATGGTTTACAAAGAACATAAAAATAATCTCAACAAAATTTGACAGAATTTAAAGGAGAAATTGGCAAAGCCACAACCTTAATGGGAGATTTTAGCACATTTTTATTAGAAAAATGCCAGGTAAAAAAGAGATTAAAGACTTAGATTTACCCACATGACTTAAAAGCTAACAGAATTTGTGTTGAAGGCTTCTGACTGTTTGCAGATTTGTCTATGTTACAACGTTATCAGAGATATCTCAGAACTTTCAGAAAATCATCGTCTGGCAGCTCACATTTCCTGTGACAGTACAACTAAATTATAAATTAACAGTAAAAAGATAAAGGAGAAATGTGGAATCTAAGAAATATATTTCTAAGGAATGCATGGGTTAAGAAATCACAATGCAAATTTTGAAGTGCTTAGAATTAAATGAAAAATGCTGCATGCCAAAACTGAGGGATGTGGCAAAAGAATTAGTTGATGATGGATGCAAAGCCTTGAATGTATTTGTTTTATAAAAAAGATTGAAATAGATAAGTTAAATATATAGCTCAAGAAGCTGGAAAAGAACTGAGTTTGCCTGAAAAATGTAAACGCAAATAAAAATAATTGCAGAAACTAATAAAATAGAAAATAAACAAAAAACAATAAATGTGGACATTATCTTTTGTACAGAAAAAAACCGAAGTGAGTCTTGAAAGGAAATAATTGAAATTGCAATTGTGGAATAAATGTAGAAAACACTTTATGTAGTTCGTGTGAGAAGTTTTCAAGAACCGAGACTAGATATGAAGTGGGGATGAAAATTCCAGACAAAGGCTGCATCTTAGGAACAGCATCAAGAGTTTCTTTTATTTTTCTACTTTCTATAAAAAAAATTTTTTTTCTGAAAATCTCAACAGATATATTTTATTTTGAGAAGTGTTTCTAAGCAGGTTCATGGGAAATGCCTTTAAAATGCATAATGGGGAAGAATACACTGTAGAGTCTGATAATTCTCCATGTGATTAATTAGTATTGTAGAGATTAGGAAAGTTATCACTAATGTCAGAATCAGAGAAGAATGTGCCATTGCTTGCCAAGTTGTAAATGTATTGTGTCTAACTTCTTCACTGAATTAAATACATCATCCAGTAGAGCCAGAATGGCAGGTGTTTCAGAACATTTTAAGTTAAAGCATGTTTTAAACCATGTTAATTATAAAGGTAAAAATCTGCAATCACATTAAATGTCCATCATTAGGGGATTGGTTAAATATTTTATGGTAAAGCCATATAGTGGAATACTATGCAACCATTGAAAATGGCAACATAAATGCTTATTTCTTCTTCTTTTTTTTTTTTTTTTGGTTAATCCTCACCCGAGGATATTTTTTCCATTAGTTTTCAGGGACAGAAAAAGGGAGGAAGAGGGAGAGAGAGAAACATCGATGTGAGAGAGACACATCAATTGGTTGCTTCCCAAGCAATCCTGACTGGGGCCCAGGATTGAACCTGCAACCCAGGTACGTGCCCTTGACCAGAATCGAACCTGAGGACCGACACTCTAACTGCTGAGACAAACCAGTCGGGTAGATGCCTAGTTCTTGATAGGGAATAATGTTAAGTAGGAAATAGATTCCATAACATACCACTTTTGGAGGAGGAAAAGCAACTGTACACATACACATACCCCTGCATGGATATATATGCCAAATATAATTTGTACAAGTAATTTTTATTTATATTGTCTAAGTTTTTAACATTGAATATGAATTGACTGTGAAATAAGTAAATAGGTAAATATATATTTTTTAATCTGAGGGAAAAAAATTTAATTTAGCTCTTTTTGTAAAAACCTTGTCATCTGACATACTTTTCAAAGCTAGCCCTGTAGTGCTCTTTATTCAGCTTTATGCATTAGTTTTTACTAGATGCCCACATTAAGTCATGTCTCAAAGAACCCTCATAACAACCCTGTAAGCGAAGTATTGCTATCACCTACCTACTTAGCATGTGAGGAAATTTGAGTGTCAGAGAGGTTTAAGGTCATGCTGATCCTTCCCTCTGATGACCTGGCTTCAAGTCTCCTACTCTTTCCAGTCCTTGGCAGGGGTGGCTATTTCATTCTGCCCTTGAAATGCAGAGAGTTTGTGCTTTCATAGGCTGTCATGCTATCTTTACCTGTAAATAAACTGCCTGGGGACCATGTGGCCCATCTTCTCCAGAGTAGGGGAACGATTCTTCCTAAGGATTCCCACTTTCACGTGAGGTACCTTCCCATGTGGGAAGCCAGACCTGTGGACACTGCCTTCTAGAATCGTGAAGGGGCCTCTTACTGCCCACTCTAGTCCTGTGTAAGTCAAAGAAAAGCCCTTGCACAGTTTGGTCATGTAAATGTCAAGGCTCACAAATGACCTTAAGTAAAGAATCTGGGCTGTTTGGAAATATATTAATTTGGATATTTAGTGACCTGTCGAAGGTTGATTCCATTAGTCAACAACTCTAGTATACTACTTTAGTTCTTGCTTACATCCATCTCTACTATTAATGCTATAGTTTTAGTCAATTTTATCTTTTCCAAGTTGACAGAAAAATCCTTTCGTGTATTTGACTTTTGTTACTACATTCTTATATCAGTCAATCCCAATGTATAATCATCTTACCTCAGAGATACTGTTTTAGAGTTTCTTTTAGCCATCTTAGAATTCAGGATTACTTTCCTGAACCTTGATGTACTCCATTCTTTTATTTCATCAAGTTATTTTTAGTATGTTCATATGCTAGGTCCTGAAAATACAGATATGATATCTTTTAATACCTGGGGCCTAAACTGAAAGATGAAAGTAGAATATTCAGAATGTCTGGTGTCTGTATGAGGTGTTATCTCAGTATTCTCTGCTCTGGTTTCTTCTCACACATACCAGGGTTCTGTTTGCTTTTTTCATTGCAGTGCTCCTTTATCAACCTTTGGATTGCAAAATCCTCTTTTAATCATTCCTCTTTTGTCCATAACTAACGACTTCCCTTTTTCTCTAATTTATTTACTTTTGAATATATTTTTAAGTATTTCACATTTTCATAATTATTAGGCAACAACTTCTGGCATGTTATTTAGGATAGATATACCATTGTACTTGAAAGTACTATGGCTTGTCATTTTATGGCATAGAGAAAAGCACAAATAAGTGTTCTAGATGTTTTTTCCTGAGAATACTTATATGTATAAGAATTATAATTTCCCCATAATGCTTTCTAATGAAAAGGTATGTAGGGTCCCTAAGCTATCCTTAATGCCACACCCTGAGGGACATAAATAAGGACTGCAGCCTTTGCCCTGAAGGCACAGATAGTAACTGGGCTGCATGAAGTATGGGTCCTTATTCAGGTTCTACCAGAGGAACACCTTTTCCTCCTGAAATCGAACTACCTGGCAGCTACTCTGGCAACCATCTATGCCAGTTCTCTTACCACTTTTATTAATAAGCAAAGGAGACTGCTGAGTGTTGTCTCTGTACAATATTCATCCTTTCTATTTGACTATTATCATAACATGTAAAATAGCAAGTTATTCCATGGCACAAATATCCTCCAAATGTTTACTTACATTTTTGGAAGTGGGCCTGGTATGTTTTTCTCTAGAATTGAGGTAATTCTAATAGAGTAGCTAGAATTTCTTAAGACACTATCATCTCATTTTTGCATAACCGGACATGTTGACATGAACTGACAAGTTTTTTTCTAGCCACAGAAAGGAAAAAATAAAAGGACCCCCCAAAACTCATTTATTAGTAGTTAAGAAAATTGTCTAAGCTTTAATGTAATTTGTACTCTGGAAATATTTACCCTGGACACCAACTTGGAGCCTTTTTGTGATTTTTCACAGTGTATTGGAAATTATTTTCTTAGCTTTTATTTGTGGCAGAGACAGAAGAAACCTTTACTATATTCAAAGATTTAGTAAGTGCTAGAATACCAGCTTCATTTTTTGCTTTAAGATTCCTGAAAAATTACCATTACTACCAATATCTATTCTCTTAATAATTATCAACCCTAAGTGAAAATGGTTTAAACTTCTAGTGATTTTTGTTTAAATTCAGGCCTCAGCAATTAATTGAATGGGTCAAGTCATGCTGAAATTAATTAATAGAAGGTGACTTCTCTATAAGGTGAAGTCTGCTTAAGAATGTTTACACATCAAGATGATCTGACTCAAAGTGTCCACAGTAGCATGTACCAAAGAGGAAGTTCAGGAGCACACTTTCTTTTTTTTTTATCCTCACCCGAGGACATTTCTCCATTTTCTGTTCAGATAGAGTGGAGGGAGAAAGAGAGAGAAACATCAATGTGAAAGGGACACGTCTAGTGGCTGCCACCCGCACGACCCAACCAGGGCTGGGGACAAACTGCAACCGCGGTACATGCCCTTAGCGGGAACGGAACCCAGGTCTCTCTAGACCGCAGGCCAGCGCTCTAACCACTGAGCAAAACCAGCCAGGGCCAGGAGCACACTTTCAAAAACAACTATAGGAGCCACAAAGATATGTCTGTATATACACACACAAGTTATGTGTGAAAATTGTTAAATGATAAGTGTTTGATCCAGTTCTTTCTCTGAGTTCTGTGGATAGACTATCCTTTGACTATTTTAGAGATAAGACTGAGAGAAATTTTCTGGAATGAGGAACAATCAAGTCCTTGGGAAAGGATGGAGCAGACAAAAGCTCAGGGTTAATTGATATAACAAGGATTCTGTCTACTGAGGAAATAGATCACCATAGATTATCAGGATAGCAGGCTGAGGCTGTTTAGTGTCCTTGAGGACAAATATATTTCATGGAAGAAAGAAACCATTGCTTCTTTGTCCATTTACCTAATTTTTTATGTATTTGTCACTTATTTGAAAAAGCCTCCTTGATCTTGAAGCTGAGCAAACAGGAACATCAGAACTTGGTCCAGTGTGACACAGGCGGGGGCTCTGGAACTCAACAAGTGATTTTTTTTTTCAGCTTCTTTTTAGTTGACTGACTAGAATAGGCAGGTGGGAAACATTAACTCCTGATTGCAGGAAAGAAACCCAAGGCACAGACAGGCTGTGACCAGCACAGGCACAGCCTCTTATCACTGACTTCTTTGGCAAAGTTAATTGTGCATTTTATAGTGCTGCTGCTCAACTGCTTTAATAGTATACACCCCAGTTAACCTGGTAAAATAAATCTTTCTACACTATTAGGTCTTTTTTTTTTTCCTAACCAGCTTTGAGTCCTAAGTCAATAGCCAAAACTATGTCTAAGATTCATCTTTTGGAAAGATATAAGAAATATTGTCCACAAAGGTGACCTACTGGCAGCTGCCTGCCCTTTCTCAGAAGGGAATCTCACACATGCCAGAGTGTTTATATTTCTAGTAGAGTTGTCCCTGGTCAGTCTGCCTGACGGGACCTTGCTGCCCTGCCTCCCTGGGAGCTCACTTTTTCTGGCTTGTGGAATTGTGACCTGCTGCCACCCCACGACATAGTCTGGTTCTGACTACTCTCAGTGGGTCTGCAGAGAGTCATTTTCAGGATGATGCATGAAAAACTTTTTCAAGAGAGAAAACCATTGTTAGCCCGTCTGCAGTTTCTTCGTGCCTCTATAGAGTCCTGAACTCGGTGGACACTCAGTGAAGACCAACTCCAGCTTCTGTAAACATGTACATTGGAACTGATGGGAAATAGAAAGGTGCCTGACGTTTAAATTATTTGGTTAAACACCCACTTGCACATCGAGGGTTTTATATGTTCCAGCTGTTTTTCTTTCTTTTTTTTTTATCCTCACCCGAGGACATTTTTCCATTTTTTGTTCAGGTAGAGTGGGAGGGAGAGAGAGGAACAGAGAGGGAGAGAGAGAAACATCGATGTGAAGGGACACATCGAGTGGCTGCCACCCGCACAACCGACCAGGGCCGGGGACAAACTGCAACCGAGGTACGCGCCCTTAGCGGGAACCGAACCCGGGTCTCTCGGGACCGCAGGCCGACACTCTAACCGCTGAGCCAAACCGGCCAGGGCCCAGCTGTTTTTCTTTCACCTTTCACTGATTATTCCTGTGTGACTTTTGGTAACTTAAGTACTGACTAGGATGCTATGAAAGTTGTCAGAGATGAAGACAAAGGCGGTAGTAACACTAAAGACTTGAATTCTATGACATAATGTTTAGAAAAGCCATAAGAAAAAACGAATCCCACTATAATCATTTCAGTGTAAGGAAGACAGATATTGTGTTTCTGTGTGGGGTGATTTGACCTACACGCAGAATAACTGTGTGATTTTAAAAGGCTCTTTATAATGGGCATTCTACATATATTCACATAAATCTTCACAAATCAATTTGAATGATAAAACTGAGGTACTTTTGTGACTTGCCTGAAGATAGAGTTGTTAAATGTCAAGATTGAATCCAGTTTGGCTTCAATAATCACATTCAGTACAATACATTTTCCTCCTAGCTCCTATTTCCAGCCTGATCTGATGTTATTGGTAGAAAACAAGTAAAATAGAAAGACATCTCAAAACTAACACATACCAACTCATACCTCTCTGCACAAGAGAGAAGAGGAGGACTGTGGAGATGGGAAGGGGGAGTAAAGGGAAATATGTTGATTTAAATAAAAGAGTTCATTAATTTGTAGCATATTTTAAAGTAAGTAAAGGTTTGCCCTGGCCAGTTTGGCTCAGCCATTAGAGCATCAGCCTTCAGACCAGAGAGTCTCAGGTTCGGTTTCCACGAAGGGCATGGTACCTCGGTTGCAGTTTGTCCCTGGCCCCGGTTGGGGTCGTGTGGGTGGCAACCAGTTGATGTGTCTTTCTCACATCGATATTTCTCTCTCTCTTCCCCCGTCTCTCCCTCCTCCTCTATCTGAAGATAAATGCAAAAATGTCCTCGGGTGACGATTTAAAAAAATAAGTAAAATGAAGTAAGGTTTTATAAATGATTTTAGATTTTGTTAATTTTAACAATATTTTTATAAAGCTATTTGGACTGAAATGTCCATTCAAAGAAAATGGTGGATACCCAAGATAACTTTTTTTTTCTTTTTTGATTTTTAGAGAGAGAGGAAGGGAGAGGGGGAGAGAGATAGAAACATCAATGAGATAGAACATCAGTGGTCACCTCCTGCATGCCCCACCCTGGTGATTGGACCCACAATCTGGGCATGTGCTCTGACCAGGAATCAAACTGGTGACCTCTTAGTGCATGAGTTAGTGCTCAACCACTGAGCCACACCGGGCTCAAGATAGCTTTTATGTTATTTATTTGTATAATACTTTTTTAGGTATTTTCAGATATTTAACAAAATATTTTTATTCTTTTCTTTAGGCTTTTAGGACACCACAGGATCATTGTTAGCTCTACAGTTTTCACAGGATTTTCACATCTGTTATCTCATCTTACATTGAAGCCTGTATTTTGCAGACATCTTAGGAAGCTGAGAAACTCTGCAGACTGGAGGATACTACACATCCTCAGTACATACTACACCAAAGAGCTTTAGGGCCTTTTACAACTCCAGCAGGCCCTTAACCATAGCAGGGAGAAAAGTGTAATTTGTAAACTCCTTTACTGGGTGGTCAGTTCTTTTTTTAAATGTAAACTTCTTAAGGATGATGGCTTTATTTTATACAACATTTTTATCCCATAGAATCTTTCAGAACTGTCCTAAAGGTATCTAGGAAATGCTTATGGAATACATAAACGAAGGAGAGTCATATAGTGATCTGAGTCAATATTTATTCCATTAAATGACTGGTCATGTTATTACTGGTAAGTTCTCGGAAGCAAGTTGAAAGTAATTTATAAAGAAATCACCCTGCCCTAGCCAGTTTGGCTTAGCAGTTAAAGCATCAGCCTGTGGACCAAAGAGCCTCAGATTCTATTCCGGTCAAGAGCACATACCTTGGTTGCAGTTTGATCGATCCCTAGCCCTGGTTGGGGTTGTGCAGGAGGCAACCAATCAATGTGTCTCTCCCTCTCTCTTTCCTTCCATCTCTTCTTCCTTCCTGCCCTACCACTCTGAGAAAAAAAATCAATGGAAAAATATCTTCAGGTGAGGATTAAAAAAAGAGACATCACCACCACCACCACCACTAGATAGGTGAGCATGTGAGTGAGGATGCTTTTTAGAGTGATGTGCTCTCTGCAGCGTTGTGTCCAAAAAGTACAATTAAACCCCAGAGAGAAAACATGCATTGAAATAACACTAGCAAATGCAAAGTCCAGACAGTAAGCACAGTTAGATTTATAACCACACACAGACTCAGTCTGTATGTAAAATACTTCATAAAGATCTGAAAATAAGTTCAAAAAATAATTCTCACAGAAGTGATAGGGCAAAGAAACTTTGCCTGTTGGATTCATCCTTTGCAGTTTAATGGGCAGAGGGAAGGGAGAATAGTGATAGCAGACAATTTCCTAGCAGTTAGTATAAGAGCCAGTGCTATAAGGACTTGACAGTGATGTTACTCCCTATTTTACAAATGAAGCAACTGGTGCCAAAGATGGTAGCTAACTTGACCAAGGCCACACAGCCCAGGTTTGAGCCTGACTCCAGAGCTCAGGCTCTTAGCCACTACACTATATTGTACTTAGCGTGACACCCCCAGAAGGTAAAAAACCACACCCTCACCACACCCTCCTTTAGAGGAAGTTTCCTCATGGCTTATATTTTGTCAAAAGTTTCTGTTACCTTCTTTCCAACCTGGACATAAATATTGGCAAAACACTGCATGTAATTCATTGTTTTGTGATTTGTTTTTTTAGGTACATAGAAGTTCTAGGAAAAAAAAATATGGAGACATGTTTAGCCTTACTGGTCATCAAATTAATATAAAGCAAACAACAGAGATATTCTTTTTTTTACTTATCAAATCAATAGTTTATATTTAGAGTTGGAATACTCAGGTTGGCTGAGAAATAGTGAAGCCCAGACTATCACTAATTAGAGGATATATTGGTAAAATGTTTTTATAAACCAAAAACATCCATTTATATCAAAAGCTTTTATTTTTAAAAGTATAGAAATAAAAAAAGTATAAAAAAGACTTTTTGTACATAGATATGTAGTCAAATGGTAAAATGTTAAGACTCTTAAATTGTGCTGAATAGCTTGTTATATATACAATACATTTAAGTGTAGGAATACCTCATCTTAAAAATAATTTTGTTCCTTTCCCTTCATATTAAAGTATCCAGAAGTATTTGCATTATTTGCCAATATATACTTGATACTGTTCTTTTATAATTTTCTGAGTTCACACAGAAATTCAAAGTAGGCCTATGTTTTGGCAAAGATGTTTCTGGCATGATCCATTACTTTCATTTAGCTTAATACTAGCTCATTAGAACTGCCAGTCACTAGAGATTTTAAACTATATTAATAACATAATTTTTGTTAGAAATGTTTATAGCTTGTTATTGAATAGATTCTTTCTCTTTACCTTATACCTTATGTAGTCTTTCAAAGTTTTTCTTAACTGAAAAGACTGTTGGAAAAGCAAAATATCTAGTACTTACCTCTCGGTGGCTTGTTCAGGCCTCTGTAGTAGCAGTCAGAGTCTGACCAAACTGAAGTAAGTTAACCTTGGCATGTTGTTCTAAGAGATTATGCAGACATCCTTTTATGGTGGTGACTTTTTTTTTCTGTCACCTTGTGATTGAGCATTGTAATTTAGCCTCATGTATGCCTGTACACTTTTTTTTAAAAAATGGGAAGTGAAAATTTTCTGTTAGTAACTTTTTTTTGAAACAGTTATCCAAAAACCCCTTGGAATTTATGAATTGCTGATATCTATGGAACTTTATAAATTTTTCTATAAATATTTAAGATTAAAAACATTATATGAAAGAGACTGAAGCAGTAGACTTTAACCAGAAGAAAAAAGTGAATCATAGTTCCAGATGATTTTAAGTGTTTGAGGATAGATTGGAGAATCTCAACTTTGACAGTTTTGTCTACTTGGAAACTTTATATGGGGGTAGTTTGCTCAATAGCTTATTAGAAAGAAAGAAAAGTTTCTGTGGTGAGTGGAAGAAAGGTGCTCTTTTGCATATACACAAAGATTAATTGATGTTTTTAGGCAGGAGGCTAACTTGACTGCATCAGTGACTACATTGACAGGAATAACAAGGGAAAAGTTGGGGTATTTTGCAGCTAAAATTGAGCCTCTTGTACACAGTATGAAGGAGACCTACACTCTTCTTCTTAGTTTTAGTTGACCGTTTAAATCAACAATGTAACATAGCTATCAAAATACAATTTATTTGTAGGCTAAATTAATAGCAATAGAGTTCAAAACAAAAGCAGTGATATTTACACTTACCCAGGACCAATCTGGCAGTCCCAGTCCGCTCTGGGTGCTGCATTTTACAAAGAGCATAGAGGACTTAGAGCATGACTGGGATGATGAGGGGTTTGGATCCTAGGTCTTAGGAAAAATGATTGAATAAATTGAGAATGTTTAGACTTAGCAGGGATTGATCACTATTGTCATGCATTTTGAAGATGTTTCATAGAAAAGGGTTTAGGTTACATATATCAGTCTTCCTAACTCCCGGGGATAGAAGTAAAGCCAGTAAGAGGAAGCTACTGGAAACAGCTTTTAAATCAAAATATGAGTTTAGTTCCAGAAAGTTAGGATCATAAAAATATGGACTAGGCTCTCTCTTATTTCAATGCTTGCATAAGCTGGATGACTATTTTGAAAGATGGCATTGAGAGTATTGAATCATTTGTAGGTCTGTGACCACAGGGACCCTTTTATTTTTTTATTAATTTATTTTTGTTACAGATGTTTCTCCTTTTCCCCCCATTGACACCCTCCTCCCCTTCCCCCCCAGCCCGTCCCCAGCTTTGTTGTCCCATGTCCATCGGTTATGAGTACATGCATATAAGTTCTGTGGTTTATCTCTTCCCTCCCCCCACCACTCCCTCCTCTGAGGATTGTCAGTCTGTACCGTACTTCTACATCTTTGGGTCTACCCTGTTCCTCAGACTGTTATGTTCATTATATTCCACAAAGAAGTGAGATCATGTGATATTTGTCTTTCTCTGCTTGGCTTGTTTCACTTAGGATAATACTTTCCAGGTCCCTCCATGTCGTATCAAAGGATAAGAGATCTTTCTTTCTTACAGTTGCATAGTGCTCCATTGTGTATAGGTACCACAGCTTTTTCATCCATTTGTCTACTGATGGACACTTGGGCTGTTTCCAGATCTTAACTATTGTAAATAGAGCTGCTATGAACATGGAGGTACATATATTCTTTCTGATTGGTGTTTCAGGCTTCTTAGGGTATATTCCTAGAAGTGGGATCACTGGATCAAATGGCAATTCAATTTTTAATTTTTTTGAGGTAACACTATAGTGTTTTCTATAGTGGCTGCACCAGTCTGCAGTCCCACCAGCAGTGCACTAGAGTCCCCTTTTCTCCACACCCTCGCCAACACTTGTTGTTTGATGATTTGTTGATGGCGGCCATTCCAACAGGTGTGAGGTGATACCTCATTGTTGTTTTAATTTGCATCTCTCTAATGATTAGTGATGTTGAGCATTTCTTCATATGTCTCTTGGCCATTTGTATGTCCTGTTTGGAGAGGTGTCTCTTTAGGTCCTCTGCCCATTTTTTTAATTGGGTTGTTTGTCTTCCTTTTGTTGAGTTGTATGAGCACTCTATATATTTTGGAAATTAACCCCTTACTGATGTATCATTGGCAGTTATGCTCTCTCATACAGTGGGTTCCCTTTCCATTTTGATGGTTGTTTCCTTTGCTGTCCAGAAGCTTTTTAGTTTGATGTAGTCCCGTGTGTTCATTTTTTCCTTTGTTTCTGTTGCCTTAAGTCATGTATCAGTGAAAATTCTGCTGCGTATGATGTCTGAAATTTTGTTGCCTACATTTTTTTTCTAGGATATTTATGGATCCATGGGTCACATTTAAGTCTTGTATCCATTTTGAGTTTATTCTTATATATGGTGTAAGTTGATGAGGGACCCTTTTATTTTAAGAGTCTGTCAAAGTGACCCAGTGGTTTTAGCCTCTCAGTGCTGTTATTTCATTTAGAAGCTTATTAGGTTTTTTCTAGCTCTAAAATGCTGAAGATCTGTGGAGAAACCTTGTCAAACAAAAAAGCAATTCTTTGGGCCTCCACCCCAGTCTATAAAATAAAGTCATTGAACTAAATGGTCACCAAGATGATTCCCAGTGCAAAAAAAATCCAGTGGGGGGATATAAGAGATTTTATGATTTAATGGATAGCTATGATAAAATATTATAGAACTAGTTGTTTTAAATTTTGGATTGAAGAATACTTGAAGAAGACGCTGTTGAAGTTTTTCAATTTGTTGAAAGGCCATCCTGGTGGGATGTATTGGTTTTTCATTTTTGAAATAGTTTTTATTGAGTAAAACATTGTTAGACAATGAAAAACTCAACTAGGTAAAGTAAATGTACTAGCAAACTGGATCTACCTTTGTTTTTGGTATTGGAGTTGTCAAATATATAAGGAAGAGGTGGTGTGATAATTGTCCTGCATGATGCTATTGAGGTTTAGGATAAGATAATTTCATGAACTCACAAACCTTAATTTTATTGTTCTTGAAAGTTGCCAGGATTTTTTTAGTTGTACTATAAAAGTAGAGAAAGTCCTTTTCTGTATAAGAGATAAGATAGACATTTGTGACCTGAACTGAGTGTTTCTGTTATTTTATTTTATTTGTTCTGTTGTGTATAGTTGTGAGTATATAGCAGGCAATAAATAGTGGTAGAAGAATGAATGAATTCTTTTTGACCTGTTTTCTTCTTCTCTATACTTCAGCCTCATATATTTAACTCAGATAGGGCTTCAAGAAGTTAGCTATTTACAATATGAAAAAGGTCAAATTGAATTTATTGTTGACAGTATAAAGAACCGATGTTGTCATAAAATAAGGAAAAGAGAAAAACTGACCAATGACTAATGACATGATATTTTGTGAAGTCTGTGGGTATAGAAATAGCAATGGAAATTTTCTACAAAACCTATATAACCATGGTCTGAAATGTGTGCTTTTATATTATGGGTGTATATGGTCTAGTATTTAGTCATCATTTAAAACTACACAGTGATTAATAACTTCTAAGAAATTTTAAAACTTCTGTTGGTATATAAGATATGAACTGTGGTCATTAAAATTTCTATCTGTATTTTTTTAGTTTATATTGAAATATAACTTCAAATAAGAACTGTGCCTCCGATTTTTTATTATATCACTATTTACACTTTATTGCTAAATGTAAACAGAAGAATTTCTACAACTTAAGTACCTTAAAGAACATGTTCTGTGGTGAGAGATCGCAAGTGTAACCAAAATAGAATTTTATTATTGTTGCTAAGAGACCAACAGGCCATGTTTTACGTGCATGTGTGTGTGTGTGTGTGTGTGTGTGTGTGTGTGTGTGTATGAAACCCTGAAAATAATAAAACAAGGAAAGGGGCTTGTTTTAAGCAAAAGGCAAATTCTGCTGTGTGCTTTTATGATTTTAAAGAGAAATTCATTTATTCAGTGAATATTTATTGAACAACTACTCTGTGCCAGGCACAGTTCTAGATAGTGGGGATAAAACAGCGAATAAAACTGACAGAAATCCCTGCCTTCATTGTCAGCGAGACAGATGATATAAACTAGCCACATAGCAGAGTAGCCAGTTATAGGTGCTATGGGGAAAGGGAAATGGAGCATGCCTAATGGGGATGAGGCTGTGAGATTTGGCAGGGCAGCAGTCTGGAATGGGATGGTCATGGAGGGCTTTTCTGAGAAGGTCCTATTTGAGTAAAGACCTGAAGGGTGGAAGGGATGCCCATGTCTGTGAAGTTGGCCAGGAGAGGAGGGGGAGCACATACACATGCTCTGGGCACCATATACCTAGCCCTGCTTGAGTGAGACACACCCTGGTCCAGTGTGACTGGATCAACAAGAGTGAGTGGTGGGGAAACCGAGTAGTAGATCAGGATTGAGGTGGGGACATAGGCCTCACTTTGTCCTTCACTCGAGAGTAGGAAATCATTGGAGGATTTTAAGCCCAAGAGTGTCTAATTTGTACTTTTTTTTTTTAAAGTGTGTTTATTTATTTTTTAGCGAGAGAGGAAGAGAGAGAGAGAAATATCTACGAGAGAGAGAGATACATTGATTGGCTGCTTCTTGCCCGCCCTTCACTGGGGATCGAGCCCACAACCCAGGCATCTGCCCTGACCAGGAATCAATCGATCAACCGGCGATCTCTTTGTGCATGGGTCAACACTCAACCACTGAGCCACACTGGCCGGGCTAATTTGTACTTTTTAATGAAAAGAATGCATAGCTGCTTAGTCAACTGTGTTTGGGTTTAGATGATTTGAATTGGGGATGGGGGAAAAGCAGTTCTCTTGTGTATTATTTAGATTACAGCTCAAATAAATCTGTTTATTAAGATTGCATTGTTAATTTTTTAAATCTAACACATAATGAGGATCCATTACATGTAAGGATCTATATTAGGCACCAGGGGGATGCAATGCTAAATAGAACATAGGACTTTCTCACAAAATTAATAATCTAATGATAGATTGAAAAAAATCCTGTATAGTTAAGTGTGCATCATACAACTGTTCAAGAATAAGGATTATTACATTGTTCCTGATTGAATTAGCTCTAAGCTATGTTAAGCACTGTGCCAGATGCTGGGAGGACCCAGGGATGCATTTCCTTCCCTGCCATGGGATATGCCCAGTCCAAGAGGAGGGCCAGACTGGCCCAGAGAGACCCGGGTTTAGTTCCCACTAAGGGCGTGTACCTCGGTTGCAGTTTGTCCCCGGCCCTGGTTGGTCATGCATGTGGCAGCCACTCAATGTGTCCCTTTCACGTCGAGGTTTCTCTCTCTCTCTCTCTCTCTCTCTCTCTCTCTCTCTCTCTCTCCCCTTCTCTCCCTCCCACTCTATCTGAACAAAAAATGGAAAAATGTACTTGGGTGAGGATTAAAAAAAAAAATAGGAGGGCCAGATGAGTGAGGCATTCATGGCTGATCCACTGTGTGGTCTACATACTTCTGCTGCCCTGTCCCTGTTGTCCTCCTTACGAGATTTTGAGAGGCTGCATTTTACACATTTTGTAGTCTTCAGACCTGACCCAGTGTCTGGCACTTGGGTGTTTACTGGTTGGGTTTTCCCTGTTCTAGCATTTGCTATATTATTGTAGATGCCTGTTGATGCTGCTGCCATTAGTCACTTTTGCAATACACATTTGCTTTTGTTTTGTTTTTAATATTAGAATTGAGAGGAGAGTGGTGATTTTTTTTTTTTTTTAAATAACATGATCTCTATCAACCTTGGGGAAACCCACAAGAGGCCAAGAGGGTCCTGTGTTTCTACAAAAAGTGTAGTAAGAACATTTTTCTGTGGAACTGAAGGATATTTCTTGAATTTTCTTATAGTAAGACATAGTTCTTTATATTGATGCCATTTACCCCCCCAAAAAGGGAAAATAAAAAATTGAGTACATAAGTCAAATATTTAATGGAGAATGAGTGCAAGTGTGTGTTCAAACCATTCTACTCATTCATATTGTCTTCCTAGCTCTTGTAAGAATGTTAGTTTGTGATCCTGGAGCTAATCCCTTGAGACCAGTGACTGCTTCTTACTCATAGATATAGATGGAGCTCCTGTACCTGGCCTACTGCGTGTCCAGGTGATTCAGTGAAACTGAGGTAGCTCTGAGGGCAAAGAAGAGAGCTACTAATCACCAAGAGGACCTGGAGAAATCACTGAAAGGAGTTGAGCTCTGTCATACACCATACATTTTCTTAGCAGGAAAGTAGAAAGGACATTTAGGTTGAAAGAATAACCTGTGTCACTGAATAGTCAAAAGAGCCAATGTGCCCAGGGTGCATCTTTAGGGGCTGGGGATGAGAAGGGAAGGCCAGATTAGGGGAACGGGGAGGACTGTAGCTATGGGAAACTACATTGATAAGAAAGAATGGAAGGGCTTTGCTATTTCATGCTAATATTTCAATTTTCAGATATTGTGGGAGGAAGGGTTTTAAACAAGGGTGTAACATAATCAGAGTTGTGTTTTGGGGAAGAAAATACTGTTAACCATGTTAAGAGATGTATCAGAGAGAAGACTTTAAGTGTTATGGCTTGTGATTTTTAAATCTATCCAGTTGAGGGTATCAAATTGGATTTCATAACCCAGGTGAGGGGACATAATCTGGGACTCACTTCACTTTCCTAATTCTAGCCATAGAAGGCTTGCAATTATACAAGGAAGGACTGGAGCAAGAATAAAAAACTGTAATGGAACCCTAGAGAGGATGCAGGAGTGGTAGGAGAAATCATAGGGAGACCAGCAAGAATCAGTGATTAAGACAAAATGAGAGAGAACGTTGAGGAGTGGAGGGCAAGCAGTGGTAAGTAGTGTCAGGTGCTGTGGTGATATGAACAGTCTGAGAGGAGGCTTTTGGTCTTGACCATGATGCATTATAATGTGTGTTGCTTTTGGTTTGTCTAATCTCTTTCATTAGATTTTAAGTCATTCATGGGAACAATCATAGCACTAACTTTAAATTTTCTCACAGTGCCTGACAATTAATTAGTAGATGCTAAACCACTTCTTTGCAATAGTTTTGGGATAGTTGGCAAGGACTGGGTTTTTAAAATGTTATATACAGTACAAATGATTTCAGATATGCACGTATAGAAAGCAAATTGTGTATCTAAGACCATGCTTTCAGACTGAAGTAAAATTATAAGCAGTGTTATATCAAATATACATTTGCCATTGGTATTTTTTAATTGAGTATTGTACTATAGTGATTTTTCTTTATTTGTTTGCATAGCCTGGCACCTGTGTTTGCTCTGTTTGTACCATTTTACTGCTCCATACCAAGAGTCCAAGTGGCACATATTCTGGGTCCGTTGTCCGTCACAAACAAGACATTGATTTATATATTGGGACTACAGGTATAGTATGCATTTTTATGTTCACATTTCTTTAACAAGATTTTTTTTCTCATTTGATCTCCTTGAAAACAATGTTTTTTTTTCCCATAAGTTTGGCTTCGTGATCTGTATCAAATGTTCAAAGGAAGTGTTACAGAATGAGAACATCAAGGTATATAAGGTACTAGAATACTTTCATAGACTTTAGAATCTGATAAGAGCTTTCACTGTAATTTGTATCAGTGGAAAATATTTTAATTTCATTGTACAATTGCGTATAAGTACTTTTTCAAAATCATAGTATGAAGTGGAAACAGTTGAGAAGAGTCAAACGACGGAAAGTGGAAAATCACTGTCAAAACTAATTTATTGAATATTGTGTCACAAAGAAAGCTCTGAAGAAGAAACCAGGTATACTTTACCAGCCTGAGCTTTGGGGTTTGCTAGAAGCATTATCAGCACTATAACTTCTTTGTTGTATAGGCATGATAGCAATGTCACCACCTGCTAAATGGTTTGATGTGAAGACCACTGGGGTACTTATTATTTGACTTAAATTTAAAAAGGTTTTCGCCAATACTCAGTAAATATTGATCATTCTCTTCTGGGTTCCAGATCCTCTGGTAGAGAGTCTCAGTTTTCTACCTGTAATACTTGTCACTTTTCTTTCACTCACAGCTTTTGATGTAAAACTTTTATTCTGCCATTTCCTGTGGTACTATGTGTATGTAGCTTGGCCTTTTGATCCACTGTTAATACTCATAAGATTCCTTATCCCACACACATCAAACCAGATACCAGTGTCTCTGTAAAGTGCCCTCCTCCCTCCCCTTTTAACCTTTATCATTTCCTCCAACTTCTCTAATCTGCTCTCATGTGTTATCAATGGCTCATCTCGGGTGGGTGGTTTTTTTTTTTACACTTTTACAACTGTTTCTCATGAAATATGTTTATGCTTCATCTCTCAACCTACATAGCATTACAGCCTTCCTATCCTTCCTAATATTCATATAACCTAATAGCCCATTTCTACAGTTGATTCATATTGCTAGGACTTGCTGTGATGTGTGTTTTTTGTTTTGTTTTCTTTTCTTTTGGTACATGCCCCTAGCGGGAACCGAACCTGGGACTCTCTGGTCCGCAGGCCAATGCTCCAACTGCTGAGCCAAACTGGCCAGGGCTCTTTTCCTTTCTTTTTTAAGATGTTACAACAGAAGGTAGAAAGCAGTGGTAGAAGATGGGGTGGGAAACCCAAGTTCTAGTTCTGACATAATTCTCACTAGCTTGTGACTTGGGTCAAGTTATAGAAGTCTTCTGAGCCTTGTGTTGACTCTATAGTTCTTTCTAACTCTAATGTTATAGACCATTTTTGAGAGCGAAAAATATTGCCCAGCTGGTGTGGTTTAGTGGATTGAGCATCATCCTATGGACTGAGAGGTCTCAGTTCTATAAGGGCACATGCCTGGGTTACGGGCTCCATCCCCAGTGTGAGGTGTGCAGGAGGCAGTCAATCGATGTTTCTCTCTCACATCAATGTTTCTCTCTCTCTCCCTCTTCCTCTCTAAAAAAAAAAAAAAAATCAATAAAAACATTTTTAAAAATAAAATACAAAAACATTGTTTGATTAATTATGGAATAGGAATTCGATGGAGCATTGTGTAAAGTCTTTGGAGCCAAAAGGATTTGGTTTAATTACTTGCTCTGGTGATTTTTTTGCCTTATCACTTTTTCTGCACCCCCATTTTCCCATCTGTAAAGTGGGGATAATATCTATATTAGCAGTTCATTTGAAAGATGAGAGATAATAGTATTGACTGTTTAGCGTAATCTGATCAAATAATAATAACTAAGTCCATTGGTTCTTATTAGTAAGTAATCATTAATGTCTCTATAGCTACCACCATTGATGTTCTGATATTATTTTGTTTTGCGTGTTTTGTTTAATTGGTGAGGTGGAAGTTGGTATCAGAAAGTAGAGGTGGAGATACCTTAGTGGCTTTTTGATAAACTCTAAAGTCCTTAGCATGAATGACATCCAGGGTTCTTCTTTCCTGTTCTTTATCAACTCCCACCTTTTTCCACCTTGAAGTATGAACCCCTTATTCTCAAAGTTTTTATTTCCTCTCTTTCTCCCTCCTGCCCTCCCCTAAACCTTTGTACATGTTTCTATTCCTTTCTGTCTTTCACACCACAGCTTCTTAAAGCCAGACATTTGATGAATGAATGAATGAATTACTTTAATCATTATCATCAGAACAAAAATGTTTGTGATGGGTCATTTAAGTATCAAGATGGCTTGAGAGCCAGTCATGTGGTGCCATATACTAGGGACTGTAGAGGATAAAATGAAGTGAATAGTGATACCTGTTGCCAAGGAGCCCAGCAGTGAGAAAAACATACACACTGTCAAACACGAACAACCACATGGGACCAAACATGCTTATGAGTCCAAAGGAAATAATTTTTTACTAACAAAATGAATGATATGCTCATCTTTCTCATGTATGAGCCATAGTAACTTGGAGAGGTCACGAGCACAGGGTTATGGAGCCAGACCACTTGGGTATATGCTCACATCTCCACCACCCACTATCTCTTTGACCTTGAACAAATTACTTAAACTCTCCATTTTTTCGTGGGTAAAATAGAGTTAATAATAGAACTTTTACCACATAGGGTGATTAGGAGTATTCAGTAAGTTTAATATATGAACAGCATTAAGATCACAGCTTTGTACATAAGTGCTATGAAAGTGTTAGCTACTTTATTCTTTATATTTTTAGAAGAAAACTACAGAAAAATATTTTCTTTTAAATAAAATATTGTCATCCTTTTTATTGTTAGTCTTTTACACTGAAGAAGGATCCATGCTAGATCAAAGGATTAAATTTTAGATCAGGGATTAAATTTAAAGTTGCAACCAACGTTCATTTCTACTTGAGCTAGCACTAGAGCAAAGCTTGTCAGCCACCGTTTACCTGTGCTTTGTCGTCTTTATCCTTGGTATCTGTCTTCTTTTTATGTATCATATTTTTCTGTGTATCTTTGATAAATGTGTAGAACTTAGAGGCTTTCATCTAGCATAATGTCAGCAATGAACCTGCAATGAGTATCCTCTCTTTTGTATAAGCAGAAGTACTTAAATTCCTGATGTAAAGATCTAAATGTGAACAAACACTAGGCTACAAATCTTTACATTCTTGCAGGAACTCTTTGAGATGTCTTATGACTTTTTTTAAACCCTGAGCACAACACCTGGATAGAAATAATTTGGAAAGCAAAGGGAGAGATTTCATGAGACTTAATTCAAAGTAGCCATTAATATCACTATTTAGTTTGCTCTTTCTTGGAGGAACTGGAATGAGAATATCAACAGTTAAACAGAGTACCCGTGAACATGGACCTGTGTACTTGCAGAAGTCTTCCCATCTAAATTTAGAGTAGCAGTGATGAGAAATTAAAATGAAAGAATTATGTAGACTAGTATTACGTGTCATTATTTAACACCAAGCATTGGATGGTGACTACATATTTTTTATGTTGTTAATTCTAATAATTTCTTTACATTTGGCATTTTACTTTAACTCAAATAATCTACATTTGTAAATAAGAGTATGCATGCATTTTACTTATTTTTCTTTGCATGGGAGTAGACCACATTCAACCAATCCATTTCAGGCTATGAAAGGTGGAGGTCTTGGTTAAAAAAAAGAAAAATTAATATATTATTTTTATTTAAATAAAAGAATTGATATTGTATTACTATTTGTTTATATTATGATATATAAGTAATTCTTAACATAAGTGGTTATGATTATAGTTATGTAAAAATTAGTATGCTGTGACTGGCGGTTGAATTTCATTTTTAGTTGCCTTTTTTTTCTTTTATAGCTTTTCACCTCTGGTTCCTACATCTGGATTGTAGCCATAAGTGGACTTGTAAGTGTGATTCCCTCCTCTCCCTGCTCCCTCTCTTTTCTGAAGAAACTTTAGGGAAAATGTCATATTTAGATTATGGGTCATATTCAGTTGTCTCCAACATTTTTTAAAAATTTAATTTAATTTTTTTACCCTCACCCAAGGACATTTTTTAATTTTTTGTTCAGATAGAACGGGAGGGAGACAAAGGAGGAGAGAGAGAGAGAAACATCGATGTGAAAGGGACACATCAAGTGGTTGCCATCAGCACGACCCAACCAGGGCCGGGGACAAACTGCAACCGAGGTACATGCCCTTAGCAGAAACCGAACCCGGGTCTCTCTGGACTGCAGGCTGATGCTCTCACCACTGAGCAAACCGGCCAGGGCTTCAACATTTTTAAAACATGTTAGGTTCTGTCTTAAATGCTACTTCCTTAGTGATTAAAAAAAAAAAAAAAAAGGTGGGGGTGGCTAATTACATGGATAATTGAGATGAAGGGGGCCTGTTTATCTTCGTTTTCCAGGTAATTTTTATGAAAGTTTTGGCTGAATTTCTTTTTAGTGTTATTTTTAAATTGCATTAGTAGTTGAACTCATAGTAAGAAAAAAATAACAGAAAAAGAAAATGAAGAAGTTGGGTTTACTAAAAATAACGAGAGACATTCTGCTTGTTTTGTAAAGAGACACTGTCATGCAAGGGAAAAAAATAAGGCCAAGTGGAAAGTCAGGTGGATTGGAACAGACAGAAGACTCATTGGGGTGAATGGCCAGAGAAGGGAGAAGTGAATGAGCCCAAGGATTTGGGTGGTGTCCTCATTCTTTGTGCTAGAATGTCTTCATCTCACCCATTCCCATGCTGCATTTGTCTTAACTTTACTTATGCAGTATTTAGAAAGCTATCTAGAACATGAAATTCAACTTTACTTTTCATCCATGACATAAATTTGAACTCTGAAATTTATATAAATACAAGTTTATAACTGTATTTTAATTTTTTTCCTAGAAAAGTCTAAGAAAATTACAGAATAGATTCTTAGTAATATGTAGGTATCAGAGAGACCTTTGGAAATAACTGTGCATTCTACTGTAGACATTTTGATTTTAAGTATGTTATCACTGTGACTTGCTTTCCATTGAATGGTATTTTGAGTTACTATGTCATTACATTAAACCAGCTTACTTCTCTTCTTCCTTTATGCTCTCTAAATAATTTCTTTTGTGTTTGTTCTTTTCATGTACAACTTAATCTTTCATTTGCCACAGCTACTAGCCAAAATTCTGGGGATTTAAGTCACTTTTTTCTGCCTCCCTAAGTACCTTCTCAGATACCCAGATACCTGATTTGCTTTAGGACCACAGCGCTGAACTCCACTGTGAGGTCTTTGAACCATCTGAGCCACCTGGTATTCTTAAGACTTGTGGTGACTTAGAGACCGCCCGGGGTCAGACTGAATCTATGGGGCACAATTGCCAGGCTCTCTCCAGTCTAATTTCATCCCCACTTAAACTATCAGCTTGATTGACAGCTACTTAATCAGCCTGAGAAAAAATAGCTCATTGCTTTCATCATTAGAGCAGCATGAGAATTTACTGTTTTGTTTATGATACATTTTGTTTCTCTTAGCAGTGATGGTCTCAAGTCCTTTTTTGAATATTTTTCTAAAACATTTAAGAATTTGCAAAGTACCTTATATGCTATTCTATTGTATTAGTTTACTATTGATTGATTTGATCTCATTATTCAAACAATTCTTTAATAATTCATTATGTGATTCATTGTTTTAAGGCATCTCATTTTCTTTCTTTATTCTGTTTTCAGGCTTCTTGTTTTAAATTAAGAGCTTGCTGTTACCTCAGATAGTTTCATTTTGTGACATTCAGTACTCTAGAATTGGCAGTTACATTTTTCATCTTTTTGTAATCTTTTTAAAATCTAAAATATGCATGTGGTCACAGTCTTTTTCAGTATACATGCTTAAAAGGTAATAAGGTGCTTGTTTTAATTCTTTTTTGAAGAATCAGAAGTTAACAAATTTTCAACATAAAATTCCCTTGTTTCAGAAGAGTGAATTACACATATTTGGAATATAATTCCCAAATAAATTTAGCATTTAAATAATTCCACTTTTTTTTTCTTTATTGATTTTAGAGAGAGAAGAAGGGAGAGAGAGAGAAACATCGATGAGCGAGAACATCTGTTGGCCGTCTCCTGCATGCCCCCCACTGGGGATCCGGCCCACAACCTGGGCATGTGTCCTTAACTGGGAATCCAACCAGTGACCTCTTGGTGCATGGGTTTACGCTCAACCACTGAGCCACACCAGCTGGGCCTTTTTTTTTTTCTTTATTGATTTTAGAGAGGGAGAGAGAGAGAGAAACATTGATGAGAGAGAACATCGATTGGATAAATAATCCCACTATTAATAAACACTTCTGAGCCAAATGAATTTTCACTTTTTACAGTAATTAAAGCTAGTGTTATTGACCTCCCACCATGAACACAAATCTGATAAATCTTCATATCAGCCTTGTTTATTACTCCACCATAATTAGGTGATACTGTGTTTACTTCAAATGATTAATATCAGTGCAAAACTATACCCAATTTTCCTTAATGATATACCATAAATATTGGTGCTTATTTTGAACTTAATGAATATTTTATTTCTCACTTTTTTTTCTGAAGTATTTGAGTATGCTGTACTTTATCTAAGGATAATTATGAAGGATGTTAAAATCATTTGTGAATATTTGCTTTACATACCACTGATTATAACATCCAAGTCTAAAATTTACAAAGCCACAGCTTGTCCCAGATATCTCTTGCTCAATGTGATTTCTCCTCTTCCCATACATATCAAGTGACTTCCCTTTTTTGGTTTTGTTTTTTAATGCTAAATAAAATAATAACAAGAAAATAAAATTCTTACTATCAAAAAGAAATGCACAGATGGTATTCAGCATTTTGGAGGAATGTTAGAAAACCTGTTGATGAAATTTTACCTTTTGCCATTAAAATCAATAATTCTCCTAACATACTGTATGTGTTAAGGAAGTAATTTTATTTCAATATGTCAGTTATGAGTTTTTTAAGAGAAAAAGCTTTTTAACAAAAGAACATTTGTGCCCTGGCCGGTTTGCCTCAGTGGTAGAGCATCAGCCTGCGGTCCAGAGAGACCTGGGTTCGGTTCCCACTAAGGGCATGTACCTTGGTTGCAGTTTGTCCCCGGCCCTGGTTGAGTCGTGCAGATGGCAACGACTTGATGTGTCCCTTTCACGTCGATGTTTCTCTCTCTCCCTTCCCACTCTCTCTGAACAAAAAATGGAAAAATGTCCTCGGGTGAGGATAAAAAAAAGAACATTTGTGTAAAGCATAAGTCATATGTTATTTGCTGTCATAGAAACCAAAAACTTTACTTATGTTTTCTGGAAAGCCACCAACTTTTAATTTAGCATCTTTCATTTAGTTATTGGTGTATTATTTGGATTAGGCAAGTTTTTCTCTCTCCTTGTATCACTCATTCTTACATGATTATAAATGTTTCTGAATATTTAACTTTAAAATACTCCACTGATTAAAAGAGGAGGTTGATATATCAGTATACATAGTATTTTATTAGGTGGGATCCCACACTCTATCTTTAGTAGTATCACAAAAAGGAATAAGGACTAAATTTTTTTTCCTGGGTTGAGAGGGGAAAATAGTGTTTAGCTTTACCAGGAGCAATAATAAATTAGTTTGCCTAGGACAGCTGTCATTCCAGTTTTGTTTTGTGATTCATTAGAGATTCCAGCTGTTGCCTTTCCTCTAGGAAAGGGTAAGGGGCATTCAGTGTTGCTTACAGATCACTTTGAGATTATGCATATGCATCATTGATAACATATTTTTATGTTGCATTCCTCCCTTGGCAATTCTAGTTTTTAATACCAACATTTAATATTTAAAATACCACTGTTTTCATGAAAGGTTGCCAAATTGTCATTGGGAAGCTTGTATTTCAGTTTAAGCAAGAAATTAAAATATGTTAGTATACACCTACTGCCATCATATTCTCACCATGAGGTTTAACTTGTTCTCTTAATGTCTTTGGTGAGACCTTCAAAAATTGAGATACTCTTTTTTTGTATTTCAGTGTCACTAACCTTGTTACACATTAATACTTTTTTTCCTTTGAGAAAATATTTCTTCTTGAACTTTGTAAAGTAAGTTCTGTTTGTGGTTCTGCAGTGAGACTTTGGGCCATCCATATCTCTGTACTTCTTCATTTTCTACTGTTTTATGAATCATAGTAGTGAGTCATTACCACTGGAATGCACCCTAATTCTCAAAAGCTGAAGCCTGAGCTAATTCTGGCATGATTAAAACAGAAAGAGCCTGCTTTTGTCAAATTTTTTTTTTTTTTTTTTTTTTTTACAATTCACATATTTGTCATTATTTGGTTCTCTTTTAAGCTGTTTGGGAGCATATTAACAGACAGGCCTATATTTCTCAGACTCCAGGCTTCTCTCCTTCAATATATACCTTTTACATTCTGCCCATTTTCTGTGTTTGTACTTGTTTCGTATAGTATTTCAGACTTATTTTCTTATGATGAAGCATCCTTAGTATAGAAAAAAATCTGTCCTACCAAATAAAATTAGAAACATAGATTGACACCAGATTATTAGGACTTTAAATGTGGTCTAAGTTAGTATTTTTTTCTGTAGGCAGTGGGGGGATCTTTAGCGCTTTACAAGCAAAAAACTTCATGATGTGCAAGATTATAGACATCTTATTAGGTTTTGTAAGTGATAGAAAAGGGGAAGGGAAGAATGAGCAATCTTAGAGTCAGGATAGCTCATTTGTGGGCTGTGATTTGCCTTTCTTCCCTCCACAGTAGTTTTACAGACAAAAAAATAAAACATTGTATCTGTAAAAGAAAAAGCATCTGAACAGAACCTAATATTGATTGGCTTTCCAAGTCATGGTATAATACTAAGGGAAAAGTTTATGGGCCAGCATGATCTGTGGAAATCTGA